GAAGGAAAACCTACCCACCAGTTTCTTGCATATTTTAATGAAAGTTACCCAAATTTTCCTGCAAATGGTAAAGCCTTCCAATCAACTAAGTCTTAATGAAAACTCTTCCGGCTTGTAATGAAGGAAAATTTGCATAACAAAGCAATACTATTGTTAAAATATCTTTTTTCTTTTCAAGATATGATTGACAGCGAAGATTTAAACAAATAACATTCAATATTGTTTTGTGTAAAATCCTCCCAAAGTCTTTAAAAACAGTTGCTGAAATGATGAGTTGTCCTTCAACCTGGTACAGAGCATTATGTGCTGGAGAAGGGCATAAGTAAGGGCATTTGAGGGCTGAAATCCTCCCAAGATCAGTTTTGCTACTCCATGTGTATTTGTGCTCTTGTTACGTGGTCAGCTGTTATAACAGAACACTCCAAGCTTGGCTGATGGTAACTGTATTTATTAAAACAAATGTGTTCATTAACCTGAATAATGATACAAAATCTGACTTTCTTCAGTGCTTCATGGTGTGTGTCCATCAACTGAACAGATAAAAGATAAAAAGATTGAGCCTATCTGCTCTTTATTGCAAGTGTGGTCTTGCAACATCACTTTGTTGCTTTTGTATTTCTTTTTTAGAACAATGGTGCTGCTGGGATTTGTTCTATTTCTTCTGAACTGATCTGATTTCTCCTAATTCCTGCTGTCAAATACACTAGTTCTTCCCTTGCCTCTTCATTGAGAAGCAGTATATGTTGCATCTAATTATTTACTATTCATTTATTTGTAATCCCTGCTTCCATTATATCACAGATCCAGAACAAGTCTTGCTCAATTTTTTCTTAAGCAACCCTTGATGCCAGTCAGAATTTCTGGTCATTGTGACACTACACACAGGACAAGCACAAAGAGAGAATGCCAAGTACAACTGCAACTTTGTTGTCTCTGTTTCTATACCATGTGCACTTTCATGTGTTGTCTCCCAACCCAGCCCCCTCCAAATCCTGTGATAATGAATTAGACATTAATGTAGTGGAGTAGAGAACAAATACCTTGGGTAATTGTATCTGCTATGTGTATTTCATATGACTGCTTCTTAAAACCAGTGTGTGAAATATACTTGTGTGTCAGAAGGACAGTAAATCTGAGACAAATGGAAGATTTACTGCCTGCCTTACATAAATGACTTCATCTTCTTGGTGAAACAAATACTTGATTCAGAAACATGTAATAAAAAAGTAATGTTTAATATTACCCTCCCAGTACACCTACAATCATGTATGATCCGTACCAGCTCAATTTTTCCTTTATCACAGACCATATGTTTGTCACTATTTTTGATAGCTATGAAGTTACTTTTTACCTAATAAATTTCAGTTCAGCCAACAAAAACGCAATTATGAACAAAAATCCTTGTCATCTGCTTTTCTCTCTTTCTCTGAAATCCCTGTTTGCTGGGTTGGCTGCTTAAGCCAAGCACCATAACTGGTTTAGAAATTTTCTTTCGTCCCTGTTCTGGCTCATGTAACTCTGTATGATTTCATGGTCCTCAACTGGACACAGTTCCTCCTCTGTCTGCTGTTACTGTGGGCTTGTTGTAATGTCTGCTGTGTTTTTAAACCCCTCAACACTTCTCACATGAAAGACCACAGAGCACATTATGTTTTTTCATATATTACAAAGACTGATCATGATTGCAAGCAAACACTATGATTTTAGAACTGGTGGAAAAGAAAAAGCTAGTCAGCAGTCTTAGGTTTGCTTTTTTTCCTAGCATGTCCCTAGTGCCCCCACTGAGTCACTGCCTATGGTCTGAGAAGATGCCAAAGCTGTGGGAAATGTCTGCTTGCTGTTCTCCTCGGCATTGCTGGCTCCCAGCTAGCCCCACCTCCCAGCCCTGCCACGGCGAGTGACCGTGTGGGTGCTGCAGCCTTGCCTGGAGCCCTGCACCAAGGCATGGTAGCACTGCAGGCGTGCTCTATCCGAGTGGGGTAGCTTGGCAAAGAAGCAGGAACCTCAGTGTGGTTGTAGCAAACTGGGGGTTGGTCCCTTCTCCCAGGTAACAAGTGGCAGCATGAGAGGAATTACCTCAAGCTGTAGCAGGGAAGGTTTAGATTAGATATTCGGAAAAATTTCTTCACTGAAAGGATGGATAGGCTTTGGAATATGCAGCCCAGGGAAGTGTTGAAATCACCATCCCTGGAAGTATTTAAAAAACATGCGGATATAACATTTGGGGATGTGGTTTAGTGATGAACATGGTGGTGCTGCGTTAATGGTTGGTAATCTTAGAGGTTTTTTCCAAACTGAATGGTTCTGTGGATGGCCTAGATTAGAAAGCTATAGGGGCAGCAATGTTGGGGCCATGCTATGGTCCTCTCAGCATGCCTTTTCCATCTCTAGTGCCCCTGGAGCCTTAGGCTCTTTTACTCTCTGATCCCTACCCCTAACCATATTCCTGATCAAAATTCAGTATATCTATGCACCATAAGAGAAGGAAGAGCAGTAAGAGATTTTTTTTACTTTGTTTTTGTCATTGGAGAGATACACTAGGATGCATTGATGTTTAGACTGTCACAATTTAGTTTAGATGATCCTTTTTGGTTCAATTTATAGGGAGAGCAATATCACTTTACTGCTTTCAACAAACTCAGCTTTGCAAAAATTCTCCATCACTGCTTTCCCACATAGCATCATACATCAAGTAGGCTGTGCCCAGGGATGGTTTTTACTTTAAACAAAAACCAGCAAACCCCACTTTTCCAGAAATAATTTATGTCACCAGCCTATGGCTGTGTGTGCACAGAGACTCTGGGCCTTTCTAGTTATTTTGTCCGTGTACCCATTGATTTCTATACTGAGGTTCTCCTCCTCCCTCACCCTTCCAGCTCTTGAGAGTATAATTATTTTTCAAGTCTGCCTGCTTTCTGTTGCAGTGAAAGGGTCTTTGGAAATCCCATGAGCCAGTAGTGGTGAGACAATCTGTAACCCAGCCATGGCTGCTCTGGCCAAACTAGCACTCCCTCATGACAAAGTGGATCCCTTGGCATATCACCTTCTGTTTCTCCCACTTAGTCATATACAACTGGGGTATGTCAGCACTTATTTCTCTGGCTAAGCATGCAAATTCCTGTATTCTTGGAGTCTGTTGTGCATTGTGCTAATCCCTCTGTTTAGTCTTTCTCTTTCTGTCCCAGTTATTTGGTGATTCTCAGAGTTGGAGAGTTCCTTTTCTTTCCTTTCCTTTCCTATGCTCCTCCAGACCCCAACTTGGAACTGTGCACAAGGGTATTATAAATTATTAAAGCCAGGTTTGCTCATATCAATAAGCCCAAGAACATGTGTTGGTGCAATAGTTGTGGTTTACTTTGCATCTGCTTGCCAGTCAGCTTTCAACATTCAATATTTCTTAATGCCTTGTCACCTTATTTTTATGTGAACCAGAGAAATTTTATTCAGTTTTTAATTGCATGAAGTTCTCTTAGCCAAACTGGATAACGGAATAAATAACAATGTCCAAGGGATTGGAGTTCTTGGATGCCAAACATTATCAGCCACAGAGCCACTATAACAGGGTAAGTTCCTCCAGGAGAGACAGCAAAACCTGGGAGCTGCTATAAGAACCTGGTGCATTAACTACCCCTTGCAGAAATGGTGTAATCCCCATTCCATGATGCTTGAATTTTCGTTTCCCTTTCCATTGACTAAGGATCATGAACCGACAAACCTTGCTTGTGGAGGCCTCTTGAAAGTCTCTGTTGCAATGAACTTCCAGAACACTAGATATTGCTTGATATTTTGATTATTTTACTGGCATATCTAAGGAGAGCAAAATCCACCCAACTATGGCAAGGCATTGCATGCAGCCCTGGTGTGGGAAATATCTATCTGGTGAGATGAGCAACGAGTGAGACATATGGGGAATAGTCTGGTCTTCAAGTTAGGAATTTCACAGCTACGCTCCAGCATCTCGAGCTGTATAAATGAATCATCAGCAGAGTGAAACCACAGAATGACACCAGCTTCCCTAAGAGAGTTTCTCTATATATATAGCTGCTAGACTTGCATATTTCTGTTTATAAATACTCAGTGATATCTAACCGCAAAACGACGTGGCCTTCTCAGCAGATATCTACTAAAAAAGAATAAAATTCTTGTTCTGTCTTTCATTTCTTCCTGAGTTATTTTAAACCAGGCTTTTGCACTTCCAGATAAACAATTGAAACTTGAGGTCCTCATACTGTTGCATGTGATCAAGATATTTTCTGAATAAAAAGACAGCCAGGGCAGAAGTCTTCTGAAGAAAACTGTTAAAAAGTGTTGATCCTTGTTAGATGTATCTGAGGATATTAGTCTGTCTGGGAACTGCAGTCCCTCATTGATTGCCCTCTTCTAAAAGGCCAAAATTGCCACAATTCATAATCCTCTTCTTACTCCTCTTCATGAACCTGGAAACCATAATTTGCTTCTAGCTGTTACTTCTTTATACCTCATTGCAAGAGAGCCTAAATGCAGGCTGTCACACTTAATGGATGTTATGAGAGGAAAGGGGAATCAGCACATTTGTGATTCAACAGTGATCTGGGAAATCACAGAAGATTTATGTTGTCCATGAAGAGCTTACTGAACCACAAAATGTGAAGATTGCAATTATTTAGCTGCTGCACAATTATTTAGCTGCTGACTATGCAGTGCACCTTTTGTTACCCATGAAAATTTTTCACTTGAGGTAGCGTGTGAAATAGTCATGTGAAGACATGAGTGTATGCAAGCTACCATTCGTCAGAAAAGAGGAAAATTAGTCATATATTTAGCAGTCATTTCCCCTTTTTTTGGGAAATCCAAACACATATTTTCTCTCTGTCCGTGCCTCTGTTTCTCTTATCCTCACTCTACGGAAGGAAAGAAAGTTGGGTCTAAAACGTTATTTGGTTTTGACATAAATCTGATTGGGCAATGTCAGACAAATTTCCGCTGGGTGTTGAGCACAACCCTATATAAGGTCCTCACTAGGAATTTTCAGTCTAATAGCTTCTTTTTGTGAGATGCTTATGTCTGAAAGACTACAGAATCACAGGTAAGTGAATCTGATTGAAATTTGGGAATGAAAACCTTCCCTAAACCCTCAAATGGTGTAGGGCTTATGGAAATTGTTAGTTACTAAACCAAAGGGACCAGAAAGCTCTGAACACAATAACTAATTGTTTTTGTCAGGCAAAGGATCTGAAGAGAGAGAAACTCACCTGTTACAGGGTATTGATGTGAACCATGGGGCTTGTTAATGCCTCTAGCACCTGGTTCAGGTGTAACTGAGAGGCTAGAGCTCCATATGAATTCCCTAGAAACCCACGCAGATCTAAGAGGAGGGGAGATGACCCATGGATATGAAACAGTATTATTGAGCAAGAGGGTGGTTTTGTGGTGCTGCAGAGATGACAATAAACTGGAAATCGTTTATTGTAGTCAAAGTATCAGACATCAGGTAAGTATAGTTACTAGAACAGGGAGAAATTTGGATTAAAACCATGATGGAAGTTTGAGCATGACAGGATACAAAAAGATGCCCAAAGGTGTATACCTATGAATATAGCTTTGTTATATTGGTAGAATTTCGGTTTTTTTGCTTTTGGTTTTGATTTGAAATAGTTGCACAGTCATTTAATATTCATCATAGTTTTAAGGTCATGTAAAATGCATGCAATTTCCATTTCTGTATATAAAATGGAAATAGTGTAATGTATCATGTGGATATGTGTACTGTATTTCTCATAAATTCCTTACATAGAGCATAAACTAATGACTCTATCCAGCATGTTTTATATATTTTTCCCCATGGGACATTGAGGTAAAGCATAATCAATCAGCTGAGCAGCAGGAGCTGAGGCTTCATGGCTGAGGAAAAACATTCAGTGATGTACACAGATGCTGCCATGCCCATGCCAGTCCCATACAGATGACGCTCAATGAATGACTGGCAGAGGAGAATTTTGTTTTCCCTTAGTAGCCACCCTGTCTGATTTTCAGGACAGGTTGTTCAGGATTTTCCTTAGCTTTTTTTTTTAGAATAGATGGTAATAGTGTCCAAGCTGAAAACTTGTGCACTACCAGCAAGATGGGTATACATGCCACAGGAGTCAATGTTTCTCGTCCCAACAGAAACATTTGCTGGAGACAAGAAATCTTGGCTCTGCTTATAGCTGGAAGTTTTCACACTAGCTGGCCTACTTTGCTCCTGTATTCACCCAAGCTACTCCACTACAGCTCACTCGAAGCAACTGACTTTTGCCTCAGTCACGTCTTATTGCAAAACAAGCAGAGCTAAATTTTTCCACCCATAGATGTTGCTCTGAAAAGCTGTGGGGACAGCAGCATCTTGTGGTGTGCTGTTTTCATCTTCTGGAGTGAAAGGGAAGGACCAGAAGTGATATGTGTGTGCCAAGCCAGATGTTCTGGTTCCACAGTTCAGCCCCCATAAACTAGGGATGGAGTTACCTTTCTGCTCACTGAGGATGGACCCAAGCTCCCCAGGTCTGGAGTGAGAAAAATAGCACTTAATTCTTTAGGTAATATTGAATATTTTGATTATATAATCTGTCTTGTAATAAACTTCCTTGTAGATTTCAAAACACTTTCCTTCGACCCTCTTCTTCTGATTTCCTGTGGAAAAAAATGCAGATGCTCTTCTTTGTCGTGGTGATGTGCATGGTAGGTGCCTCTGCTTTCAGACTTCAGCAAGTCAAAAGCACAGGTAAGTGTATATTTGTCTTTTTTCCTTCTCTTTCCCCCACTGTTCTTTTTAATGTTCCTGTCTGACAGTAACATAAAAATGTCTCTGATTTATATAGAAAACTGCCCAGATCACACAGTGTTTTTCAAACACTACTATGAACTGCATGGAGAACCTGTGGTTCTGAAATGCCCTTCCCCCAGATACAAACATTTGGATTTCTCTGCCTTGACCTCTAATATCACATGGTATAAAAATGGTTCAAACACCATGATATCAGGAAGAGATGAAGATGCAAGAATCTGGGCAAAAGGAGATGCTCTCTGGTTTTTACCAGTGATGCTAGAAGACTCAGGAGTATATATCTGCACAAAAAGGTGGGTATTTAAAAGGAAAATCTAGTTCGCTAACAAAATGACTATGTCTAAATGCATTAGCTTGATTTTAAACTCCAGTTAAATTCAGAGCATTTATGGATAAGATAATTTCCTTGCTGACCGTATTAGAGAGAAAAAATGTGGGAAGTTAGGACCCTTGGAGTGCATTGTATATCTCCTATCCTTACTAGTACTGAAATCTGGATGAATTGTGACACAGGGTTGCCACTTTGGCTACAATCTCATAGGAAAATAGTGTATAGAGTTTTTTCTAGTTACCTCTGAGCCAATCAGTGTTAAGGCAAGTGGGACATGCTGCAGGCAGCAGGTTTGCTGAGCACAAATACCCTTGTTGCACCTCAGATTGCCTTATGAAGAATATTTAAGGCATTGTGTCTCTGCAGTCACTTTCTTCTTCCCTCTTCCATATCCCTAGTCTTCACTTTTCTTCTGAGTCATGTTTTAAACCAGAATTTGATTGACTTGGTATTGTTGGAAGACTTTTCATGAGACCCAGTGTGCATTTATTAGACTGGTACCAGACTTGTGATGTTGCAGTGAGTTGAAACTTTAGCCATGTCTCTTTTCAGCTCTATTGGTAATTTTTTTTTCTGAGTGTTTTCAATCTAACAGCACACTGTACCATATCAAAAGAGGTGCCAGGGTCTGGATTTGTTGAGGACTGAGGAAGACAAAAAATCCCATCACGCTTAAAGTCTGAATTTCTGAGGATGTTCCAGGTCCCTGTCCCATGCCATCACCTGCAGGCAGCCAGCCTCTCAGTATACCTGTGGCACTTAGCTCTGGGCTTTATACTGGAGAACGTATCTCTACATCCGTGGAGCTGCTTGTAGAGAGCATGGTCTCCTTGCTTGCAAGGCACTCCTTGTGAGGGAGATGTGTCAGCAGTAGAAGAGATGGACAAGTTGAGAAATCATGCTCAGCATGTAGGGTTGGCCTTTCCCAAGTCTCAGCAGCAATTTCAGTTGTGGAGCAGAAGAGTAGACTGACATCAAAGCCTGAATGGCAAAAGGTTGCAAATACTGTTCTAGAGCAGAATAGTTGCCTGAGATGTTCAAGAGTGCTTTTTAATCCCCTTTTTGGACTATTCTGCCTCACTTTGTCAATATATAACATTATGGTAGTGTTACTGAGAGATCTAGTAAAATGCTGTGAAATTTGCTTGAAAAAGACATGCAAGAGCCAAGCAGGTAACTTCATTGCTAACATTATTACAGGATTAATAAAGTGCAAGTAAATTGAATTCCTTTGAAATTATCCCACAGGGAAGCCAACAGAACTTTTTTATCAACTCTGTAAAATGAAGGTAGCAGTGAAGTATCACAGATCTCTGCTTCTGTGTTCTGTGGAGCAAGTATTTTGGATTGGGGCATCTGGCCTGTGCGTAACAGATGGCCACAGTGCCCTGGCAATAGTGTCAGTCTGTCTGCTTGCAGCTGCTCTCCTGGAGGTGGCAGCCCGCCCTCCCTGGCTTCGCTGGCCCTGTCAAAGATCATGCACTGCCCTGAGTACAGGCATCTTCTGAAGCAGGCTTCCAGAGGTTGCAAAAGATGGAACTTAAGCATCTATCTCTCCTAGTGCAGTCTTCCTTGGGATTGTAATTGTCACTTGAGGCCAGAAAGAAAAGTTAAATATTGTGAACCTTTCAAAGCCAGAATGCCTTCTTTGCTACACAAAATTTTATGTACTCACATAAATTTCTATGGTTGTACAATAGTAACTGCAGATGTATTGCAATACATGCTTTAAGCCTTTTATTTAATTATTAGGGTTTTCACAGTCAAAACCTCTTCCAAGGAAATGGGGCAGGGTTCATCACACACCTGCTACTGTTCAGGTTAATATGTTCCCCCTCCTCACAAAGTTAAAATCGTGCTGCAGCCTAAAGGTGCACAGGAAAATTGTTGTACTAAAAAGAAAAGACTGAAGGTCTGAAGCAGATGTGTCAACATGTTTAGGTTATGCCAAAAGAACAGTACCAGTGATTTTCCAGCATTCCTCCCGGTATGATCTCAGTCTTGGCTCCGTTAAGGAGGGAAATGGAGCCAGGAGGAAACCAAGGGTGTTATTTGAGTTCTCCTCAGTCACTCTTCTGTGCTCACCTCTCCCTGTTCTGTCGGCAGGAACTCCTCCTACTGCGCCGAGGTCTCCATCCACCTCACAGTCATGGAGAAAACAGCTGCTCGGGAGATTGCCTATCCCCAGGTCCTCTTCACTTTCACCTCTGGAAAGATTGTTTGCCCTGACCTGTGGGATTTTGCACCAAATAGGACAAGCCTGGAGCTCAAGTGGTACAAGGTAGAACATTTACTTCCTCTTTGTGCACAGCCTTGTCCCAAGTTGGCACATAAATCTCCACTTTACGTTTCTCCTGAACATCACGTTCAGCATAGTTCATCAGTCACTAGCATAGTGCAATATACTGCGAATTTTGGGACAGATGTATAAATTTTAAGAAAAGTTCTCTGGGGCACACTCAGCACAGGATGAAGTGTTCCACATGTTTTATGCTCTCACAGGCAGTGCAACTGTTTATAAGGCTAGGTTACTCACCCAACTCCAGGGTTTGCCACCTGATATCAGGTCCTTGTCTTTGACACTGTGCTTCTTTTTATGGCCCCTCTAGTGAATCCCATAAAGTAGGACCTCCCAGGGATACTGCTTCCATTTTCAGGTGGGGTAGCTTTCATTAATCAACTGGAATACACCATTTGGAAATACTGGATGAATTACATAATGCTTGGAGTGTTCTCTTGCCTAACTGGTCAGTTTGCTGCTTTTCAAGTAGGCAAGTCTGATTTTGCCTCTAGGATCAAATACAACATTCTTTGTTCAATTTCACAATGGAGAGCAGGGGATTCTTCTACCATTTGCATAATAGCTTGTTTCAGCTTTTATTTACACTGCCACTAGGATCACATGCTCTGCCTTGTGCAGCTGTAGCCTTACCATAGGATGTAATATACAGGCTGGCTTGCAGTGCCTAGGTTATGATCTATACCATACCAGCAAAATGTTGCTGCTCAGGACTCCCTTCAGAGTTGGGAACATAACCCACTTTATCTAAGCAAAAGGCTGCCCCCCTCAATATGATTCTTGTTACAAATGCAACAAAGAGCTACCCTGCCTTCATGAGGAAGGAACATAATTTCTCCTAGCAGATCTCCAGACCGTGTATGAACAGAGCCTTAGGGATACAGAGCAGGAATTTCTAATAGTTTATATGGTAAGTAACAGTTATGTGAAGTCCTGCATGATTACAAGTATTTTTCTTCAAAGACAAATATTAGAATATTACTCCTTATTCCTTAGAATATGATAACATTGTGATAACCTCCATGGGTACTAAAATCTTGTGCGAGTGCTCTTAAGATGACTTAAGGAAGAGCTTATTATATGTTTTCAATCTTAAAATCTGCACTTTATGGAAGAGCTAAGCACACACATTATAGATAGATTAAAACAGCAATTCTTCACACCTCATATAGTGCCATAAGGTATTTTAGGGATGGATACACATTAAAATAACTTTTTTTGTACTTTGGTGAGAAAGCAGAACTGCTCAGATTTCCCAGTGATAAATGAACTTCTAATAATAGAGAGACAGAGATAATTTGTCTGAGAGTTACACAGGGTGTAACCATAGCTATCTGAGTCATAACACCAATTTCTGTCCTTTCTCCAGGATGCTCTGCCTTTGGAAGATGACAATGAAAGATTCATCATTCTCAAAGGTTCAGCATCTCTGATCATGACATCTGTGCTACCAACAGACATGGGGTATTACACCTGCAAGATGTCATTTCCATTTGAAGGTGTGATGTATGAAATCACCAGGACAATTCAACTGGAGACTGTTGGTAAATATAGTACCAGATGATCAGAGGGATGGAGCACCTCTCATACAAGGAAAGGCTGAGAGAATTGGATTTATTCAGCCTGGAAAAGAGAGGGCTTGGTGTGGCATACCAGTACCTGAAGGGGGCTTACAAGAATAATGGAGAGGGGCTTCTTACAAGAGCAGGAAATGACAGGACAAGGGCGAATGGCTTCAAACTGAAAGAGGGCAGGTTGATATTGGCTATTAGGAGGAAGTGTTTTACTGTGAGGGTAGTGAGGCACTGGCACAGATTGGCCAGAGAAGTTGTGGATGCTCCCCTTGCCCTCCCTGGAAGTGTTCAAGGCCAGGGTAGATGGGGATTTGAGCAACCTGGTCTAGTGGAAAGCATCCCTGCCCATGGCAGGAGGGTTGGAACTAGTGGTCCTAGGAACCTTTTAGGAAAGGTTTTAGGAACCTTTAAGGTTCCTTCCAACCTAAATCATTCTGTGGTCCTATGATTCAATGATGGACATATTAAAACATTACAGCACATAAGAAAACCTCTTCTTTGCTAATGAAACTCTTGAGAGAAGCTCATGTTCATCCTTTCAGCCGTGCCAAAGGAGTGCTTGTCCTGGCCTTGATGGGGCTCCCACAGCACCCCTGGCAGAGAGGGGTTCTCTCCTGAAAGTACCTGTGTTTGTTAAGTGGAATAATTGATGTTTTGGGGACAGGAGAGGGTGTCACTACACAGGGCTTTAGGGGAGCTCGGAGATCAGACACTTAGCGGTGGACCAGGGCAAGGACAGACGCTGAGCCACAGAGCGGGGACAGGCCGCTGTGCTACAGAGCGGGAAGAGATGCTGTGCCACACACAGAGCGGGGACAGGAGCTGTGCCACACACGGTGCGGGGACAGGAGCTGTGCCACACACGGTGCGGGGACAGGCGCTGTGCCACACACAGTGCGGGGACAGGCGCTGTGCCACACACAGAGCGGGGACAGGAGAGCGGCGGGGCCGGGCGCTGCTGCTCAGGGCGGCCGGCAGGGGGCGCCCGTGCCGCACATTCCTCACGGCGTCCCTGAGGATCCCTGAGGCTCGGTGGGAGCGCGATCCTGCCCGAACCCACAGTCGCGGCTTGGAACCGCAGTATCTCTGCTTGCCACGGGATTTAGCAATCAAATCCTTTCCTGGGACTCGACAGGTGTTGGGTGAAGTGACATGTTTCTGGTTCTGGGGCCACGCTCACATTTTCTTATGTCTTAGCACTGACTCTGTTCTCTTTTTCTGCCAAGAACAAGAGAAGAGAATTACCCCGATAATTGTGTATCCAGCCCAAAAGACAACATCAGCTGCTCTTGGTAAGGCCCAGCATATTCGGAAGAGTTTGGAAGAGAAAAACTAGAGCAGGTCCTCTAATGGTGTAATTTGTTGGCATAAATTGTTGTAGGTTTTTGATCTCAGTTATATTACTTGAGGGTTAATGCTGAAGTATTCTTTGCTTTTTAATGTCTACAGCCTCCTGCTGTCTTCTGGGTATATAGATATACTTCCATAGAATGTAAATACACATCAGTCTGGACTCTCCTTATCCCTGAGTTACAGTACTTACAGCGACTAATAAGTTTCAGAAATTTTGCAAAATCACTTTAACCCTGGAGGTCCCACCTTCAGCTGAATGTCCTCACCCACAGCATCTCTGAATGAAGCTGTGCTGCTGGTTAATGCATTTGCTCCGAAAGAGTAAATCACACAGTGCCCTTTGGGCTGCAGTGGGTCAGAAAGGGCAAGGCCACAGGCATGGACACAACCTTTCCTCCAGGGAATGTGTTTGGTGCAAGAGTTGCTACGTGTTGAAATAGGGAAATACTTGGTTAGCAGCAGGACAAACTGCCTCACTCAAGGGTCTTGCTGCCAAGGAGTAGGGGATCAAAAGCAATCCGGAGATTAACTTCAGTTTTGAAAGTAGTGGTTCTTGGAGGTGTATGGGATCTCCCACTGGAGTTGCTGGTTTTCACCAAAAGAAAGAGTAGTTCTTCAAATGTATCCAAATTGTTTTTCAATCTTTCTTTTTTTGACAGGCTCCAAGATGACTCTCCCGTGCAAAGTGTTTGTTGGGCTGAGCAGCCATTTCCAAACTGATGTGGAATGGCTGGCAAATGACACCAGCGTTGATGTGGTTTATAAACAAAGCAGAGTTGCAGAGGGGGAACGACAGTAAGTCTGAAAGTGCTTCCTTGTGCTTATTGTTCTAAACTGCAGTGCCTCTTGGCGCAGCTGAATGACAGGTATTCGAATGGGAAATGGACAAATCTGAAGTGAAGGTGAGAGATGAGAATAAAAAGGGCAGGCAAGCAAAAAAAACCCAAGCCCAACCCAGTCAATGAAATAAATTCTTTATCTCTGTTTCTTGTTACATGGTATTTTGCAAATGAGCCAACTTTGAGACAAACTTTAAGCACACTTTCATGAGTAACTGAACTGTTTTAAGGGCTGACTGCAGTGGAAAGCAAGGAGACTTGATCCTTCCCAGTGCTTCTCTCATCTGTCTCCTTACCCCACACCAGCAAAGTGGCAACATTCTCTCCCTGACATTCATGAGGTTCTCTGAATACACTAAGACAACAGAGAATTATCTAGTGGTTTGATTTTGTTGTTTGTATTTTTTTTCTAAATAACATTATTTTTTCCCCCTAAGCTTGTTCTTTTCCACATTAGTGAGTTAAACTGACTCACACAGACACCCGCTGAGTGCTAGAACAGGGTAGCACTGAAGGGAATGCTGGTGGGAGTGAAAAACAGGATGTTCCACATCCTCTTGCTCTGATTCATTGAGTCTCCTAGTCTCGAGGAGCTTTCTTTCAGCTGCCTCATAGCTGCATACCTCAAGGCTTTTCCCACTAGGAAAGGGAAATATAACCGCTTTCTGTACCTGTGATGGGTTACCTGATGTGTTACCTGGAGTGAGTGTAACTCACTACATCCAGGCACACCTCTAGTGTTTTTGTAAATGTGAGCTAAACCTTTTGACTCAAATCTCTTCATTGAGGACCAAGTCAGCTTGTTTTGTTTCTTGTTTCATGAAGCTCAGATCAAAAAGATCATTGCTCTTGCCTGGTGGCTCTGCCTGTACTGGTGGACAGAGCCCAGAAGGTTCCTTGGCTCTGGGATGTCATTTCCTCAGCTGTTACTTGCTAAAGTGGTCACACACCAGCTAGAACCTCCCCAAAGGGTTTCTGTAAATTGATTAGGGTTTAGCATGGGCTAGAGGCTGTTTCCAACAGAATTGGGGATGTGGCATCTGTATTTTGATGGACAAGAATGTTTAACAGTTATGGATGTGAGATGGTTTTGGCAATTTGTGGCCACCAGTGCCAGATAACAGCCTGGCCATACTGCAGCCAGAGGTAACATAGGAACTCAGCTCTATGCCCAAGCCTTTAGGTGTTTTCCCATTCCCCACAGCATGCTTGGGGAAATTGATGTATTACCTTGTTTATGTGGATAAGTGAAAATGCATTGAACCTGTGGCCAGGAACCATAAAATGTGTGGAAGCTATAGTCTCTGCTGGCTTTAGAATAGAGCAGCACTTTCTTACTTGGACTTGAAAAACGACTTCTGTAATGCCTATCACTATCATTATTGCTGTTATATATTATCATGCAATTGCACAAGGACAGTGACAGTGACAGCTGATGTTCCTGCAGGACCCACAGTGTGTGACATATCCCAGTTCTGCTGGAAGTCCTCATTATGGCAGCATGACAAAACAGCTCAAATGCCACTGGGAAAACAAATTCCCTGCAGAAATCTCTGCCACAGAGCTCCCAAGGGGAGCACCCAGGGAATTCCATTGCTGCCAAGCAATGCAGGCTCATGATCAGATCATTAAAGAGCAGCTGGATAACTGCTCTGGTAATGACTAAAAGATATCAAGGGACAATGTTTGACTCCAGCTAAAAACCGCTTTGACTCTTAAAATAATCATGTTGAAATTAGCTGGAAACTTCTTGGACAGTTTCTCGTATTGAGCTATTGGCTTTGAGCATGTGATAGACAGGAATAGTGATTCAGCTTTCTCAGAGAACTTTTGCATGGTTATGTTCCCTATATGTCCTCTTCCAGCTGGTCATAAAAATTAACTTCTGGTGGTCAGAGAGAAGGAATTAGGTCCTTGAACAGTGTTGTGAAGTGAGCTCAAAGATACACAGAATTCCACTTGCCTTTTTCCCCTGCCTTTTCTTTATTTTTGCTAGACAAATACAGGTATTTTTTTTTCTCTAGATTCCAAAAAGTGCAGGATAGGTACTGCCCACTGAGACCCAAGTAGTTAGCACAGCTGAGTGGAAGACAGCAGGCATCCTTGAATGCTGAAGGGTTGGTTCAGAAATGAACCAATATCGAATGCATTTTCTTGCAATGTGCTGTTAGAATGAACATCTTAAATAGAGAAAAAACACCTTATTAAAATATTTAACATTAAAACTTTCTTATTCTTCCAGAGAAATTGTAGAAAATGGTGAAAACTTTATTGAAGTACCACTGATTTTTGATTCTGTTGAAGAAGTGGATTTCTATACAGACTTTACCTGTCTGGCCCAGAACAGATATGGATACCAAGTACTGCCAACAAGGGTCAAGCAGGAAGGTAGCTATTTTTACTGCTTAGTTTTTGTATTTTTTGTTATTATTCTAATGCTAAATTATCATCTAATATTTTTATACTGTAAGAGCTAGTGTTGGGATGAGTTACTGCCAGGGGCAAATCTGATTGCCTCTTTCACCTGTAGTCTTTGATACAGCCTGTTCACAAAATGCACCTTCTGTAGGTCATTTACTGACATTTTATGCAGGGATAAGGATCTCTCTGTGCTGGTATATCTGTTTATTAGATAGGACTCCAATTTAGATACACTTTGTGAAATGAATGTTCCAGTGAGACTACTGGCAAACTCTCTTTGCAGCAGGGCCAAATCTCCTCCAGTTCCTCAACAAGCAGGGAGAAAAGAAGATAGTAACAGAATAAATTATTAGTGTTCCTTTTCCTCATGCACAAACTGCTGCCAAAATAACAAGAACTGTAAATTATGATGGGTGTTGTTATTTTGGCTCCTAGTCATGGGAAGAGAAGACTTAAACTCAGTGTAATTAATGTTGCAGTGTGATAAACCACTGGCCAAGAGCCAGCTGTATGAACAATGTGAAGCAATGCTGATTGTTTCTTTGCATGACGTTGGTGAACCACCAAAGCTTGCTCATCCTGTCTTAGAAAGGCACATGAACACTTTCAGACTTCATTATCACTCCAGCACCCTATGATGAGGAATTTGTACTCATTTTGCTGGATCATGTGCTTCCCTTGTCTTTCATGAGCTACACGGGAATAACTACAGAGGAGGCAATATATATATGTGAATAATCCAGAATGGTCTGGACAGACACTGGTGTTGGAAATTAGCTGGATTTGGGAAGAAGTTCTGAGTCTTGGGTTGATTGTTACTAATTTATAAGCTGCTCTGTAGGAAAAAAATTATTCACACAACTTGAGGGTGAACTAATTGTTAAGTATTCCTACTCCATGCAGTGCTTGGATTTCCTCCTTGGAATGTCTCTGCTTTTGACAAATCAAGATAGAAAGCACACAGCTGCTCTAATCAGGAGTTCAGAAAGTTTAGTGTATGCAAAATATTAAATTCTAGTTCTCTCTTGTTTTCCAATCTTTCCTCCTGTCTTCATGAACACATTTCCCAGAATGCTCAATCAATAGGTGTCTTCCTTTCAAAGCTGATAAGCCCTGCTGGAAGGTTGACTTGCAGACCTCCTTTTTGTTGTCATTTCTCCTCTCCCCACTTGAGTTTAGAGGACTATGTTCCTGGGAGTTTGTTGTTTTTTTTGGTTTTTTTTGTTTTTTTTTTTTCTAATATTTAATTTGTTTACTTTCCAGCTGTTGGTCTGTCCTGGTACATTGCAGTGATACCTGTTGCACTGGCCTGTGTGATCGTGGGAGGGATATGCATGCACAAGTGCTGGAAGCGGAGAGCTGATAAAGGATATTCAGTACCAAAAGTTTAAAATCCACTTGGTTCTCTAACTGCCAAAAGAGCAAAAAAAAATCACCCTGGCTATCTTTCACATCAGACACAGAGAGCATTTCAGTCCCAATATACTGAATTCCCAACAGACTGATAATAACAGCTCTTTCCCATTTTTCCTGGTCTTCTATGATCTGATGAAGTTAAAAACATAAATTTGCATTTTTATGCTGCTTAGATGCAGGAAATCTGGTTCTATTATTTTGCACCTAGGGTGCAATCTGTAGACTTTTGGAACACAAAATCGTGCTCTGGATATGGGAAGGGCAGGGAAAGGGAGGTGCGCTCATCCTTTGTAATTCCAATAGATGTACTGTTTTTTTAAAAAAAGGAAAAGAAACCCCCTAAAACCTAAAAAAGGAAGCTAAAGAAGCTTGCTACAGAAAGACTATTTGAAACTAGAGTGAAAAAGCAATTTTTCTATGCAACCAGACTAAATTTATTTTACTTCAGTCTAAAAAGAGCCATTTGTTTTCCCTTTTCCAGAGCCAAATGCAGTTGTCATGGCAACTGTATATCTACGAACTTCTCCACAGAAAAACTAATTTTGTTCACCATTTGGATTACACTTTGCTTAAATAGACTGTCTCAGAATATTCTGCCCCCAGAGATAACTCCATCTGTATAACAGATAACTGTACACAGAAGAATTCAATTCTGTTTTATCTACCAATATGTTGTAGCTAGAGATTTATAGACAGCTGTAACATGTTGTCATCTTTGCCAAGGAAAGAATTGGAGGGATGTTTAAGTGTTTTGAGACTAATTTGATTAATCAAAAGTTTTATTCCTGGAAGTGATTGGACAGATTGTCAGTAATAATGAACAGTCTCACGCTTTTGTGCCTCCAGCCCTTTTGTGACCAGTCTGGTGTAGCTTCAGATTGTGTCCTTTAAATTGCAGTTTGCAACTTGGTTACATAGGATGCAAAACACTGCCTGTTATGTTAACCTAGCTGGATTCTAGTCTTGACATAAATCATAAGGGAGCAATAAATAATCAATGACCATGTTGTACTTTGAGAGTCAGAATGAGTAAAATTATTTGGTCACTTCCTCTCTTCCTCTTCAAAGAGGTACCACTCATGAGAGCTGAGAAATCATTACATGATATATAATGTGTATTATCTTCATCTGCATAGGAGGGAAGAGAACCTGCATTAAGGCCTAGATTAGTACAGATCCATAACTGACACCTCTCACAGGCATCAAAGATAAAGCTTTTTGTTCATGTAAATCATCCCAGAGGATTTTCAAATTCTGTAGGAAAAAAAAAATCAGGAAAAGCCTTGGCTCCAGAAATCAAATTGTAACACACTAGAGAAGTGAATGGCTCACATCCACCTGGGAGAGACCATGACCTTATGCCTTTCCACCACTGCTTCTAGTTGGCTCTGAGTTTGGCCCAATAAATGTCTGGAAGGATTTTAAAGAGTAGGATGTGGTTTGAGTTAAGAAATCTTCACTCTATTAGAAAGAACATTCATATGTAATGAGATTTAAACCAAAGGCTCCCTTTAAATACTCTAAATATTTGTTGTGAAGATACAGGCACAGGGATTAGAGTTCTGACGCAGTTTAGGTCAAAGACATGCAGGGAACACCACAGGACTCACTGTTTCCAAGTGCAGAATATTAAAGATGATAAGGACTACAAGTATTTTATGGGCAGATGGGAAAAAGGTGGATGCAAGTGTGGAGAACAGTCAGTCCACTTGGATATCTGTTATTTGAAGGGAGAAAGCTATAGATGAATTGATCTGTGTTGGAGGGAACATTGAAAATGTTTCAGGAGCATCAGGAATGCTCATTCTTTTCAAGCAATTGCTAGTCTGTACCTAGAGAACACATTAGGTTTGCCAATAAATGTAATGTTTAAAAATGTGATTTGCTTTTTCTTTCCATCTGTATCCTCCAAGAGTAGTGTGATCACATACCTGGCTGTAGCTGCAGGGTTGGATTTCACTAAGTACTGGAAAAGAAGCAGAACTTTTGGTATACAGAGTACTGGTGCCATAAGAAAGTTAAATACCTCAGATCCTTCTCCAAAGCCAGAGAAGGAGAAAAAAATATGAATGTAAGATAATAATTAGGTATTTAGGGAATTGCTTTTACATACTCAGTGGCATCTTGAGTACAATAGGAAAGTAAAGAAACAAAGGCTTATCTTTTATGAAGTGATACTTCCTTCTCTGACTGCTAGTATAATAATATTCTGAAGGCTTTCCTCATAAGTAGATGTCTTCAGGTGAGCTATACAGTGTAAATATTTTACAGATAGATTTGAACAAGTAAGCTACATAATGTAAATGCTTTACACTGATTTATACCATTATACACAAGGGCGACGTGGTTTATTTATGTTTTGAAAATGTTATGTGAAAAAATGGAAAACAAATAAAACCCAAACCAAAATGCTGGTGTGTGAGTTGAGTGGGAAGAAAGGTGTGAGATATGAGATGGCTCTTTGAGGATGGAAGCTCTTTCCTAGACCTGAAAAGAAGTACAGCATTAGGGAATATAACATTAAGGATTCGGGGCTCTGTACCACAATGTCTCTCTTCAGAAAAATTATGGATGTAATGAGGACAAGGTCACCTTGTTCCTGGGACTGTGTGGGTTTACAGCATTTTCCAGAGAGCTAGTCTATCTGCAACAGCTTCAGAGGCACACCTACAGAGCAGAAAAGACTGGTGTATCGTGGTCTTGGCATGAGTTAGCATCCAGAACAGAGGCTTCTCATGCAGAAGTTGTTTTCAGGAAACATGAATTGAGTTAACAACTATTTTCTAATTTTTAGTGTTTGTGATCTTGATGTCATTTATCCATCTAAATAGGCAGCATAACTAATGTTTGACCAGAGTAGAACCAAAACCAGCTCTAAATATAATGTGAAGAGCACCAAATAATTTGATCTGCTGGTTCCCAAACAAAAACCATTATATAAATGTGGGACCAAGTGAAAACAAGGGCTGACCTGCACATAGAGTTGATCTTGGCTGATCAAGAAAAGAAAGTTATATTTTTTTAATTCTAGTATCTGGGGAGGGAAGGCATGCATGCAGGAGGACGAGGACCTCCTTGTTGAAATATCATTGCCAGGAATAGTGTTTTAGGTATGAACAGCTAATTAAAATGTTTATTATTATTCTGCCTCAAGTCTGTAAAAAAACAGGTCCAGCAGGGCAAAACAAAGTAAAAAATAGTTTTTATGTTTTTGAGCTGAGAACTCCCTGTCCACTCATAACCTTGCAGCTGCTAAAGATAGCCTAGGGTGGGATACATCTCATCCAGCCTTCTCAGAGCCTAAAGGAATAGAGGGAATCCAATCCAAGAGGATGTTTCCTCTCCACTCAGTGAGTGAGAAAGACTTCTCTCTGGTGCTTAAAATAAATGGGATCAATTGCATCTCAGAGGTGTCTGTCTTTTTCCATCAGTTTAAGACAAAGCAAGATGAATCCATTCTGCATGGATTCATGGATACAGGAATGACTAGTTGTGGATCACTGGATTTCAGGTTATCAGAGAGGTTACTAAAAGAAACAGTCTAAAGCCCAGAGACGCCTTATGTCGAAGCTTCTGGGCTTTCTTGGGAAATGGCTTCAATGCTGGCAGCTCTGTGCAGAGCAAGCACAGGCTCACACTAAATGAAAATACTGTAAGAAGCTGAGAGGCAGGCACAAAGATATATATTGTAGAATCCAACATAAGAGGGAGGCTGAAAATGTCTAGCTAGTGCCTTGGAAAAACATTTGTGGCTTCACAGATTGTGTGGTCATGAAGTGCCACAGCTATTACAGGAAGAAAAGAAAGAGCTGTCCTGTGTGCATGGCTCAAGTACAGAGAGCCCTTCTGGGACCAGGAGGAAGTCTGCTGAGTGACTGCAGGTGAGCTGAGGCCTGTCACCCTTTCCACAACTCTCAGCCAGCTCAGCTCCCATGGCAGGCAAGTGTCTGCCTGCTTCTTCCTGGCTCTGCTGGGCTACAGCAGAAAATTGTAAAAAAACGGTTATATAGGAAAGGAAATATCATAAAACTAGCTTGCTTCCACGGGAAAACTCATGTCCTTGATAAAAAATCCACTTATATACATATATGTATATGTATATGTATATGTATTTCTGCTTTAGTGTGCTCATTGCACTGGAAACGGTAGTCTTTATCAGTCTGTACATTACCTAGTATACACAATGTAAAGATCTTAATAAAGTAGCTGAAATACAACTCCAGTCAGTTTTCAAGAGAGCATATTATCATCCTGAAATTCTTCAGCCAGGCACTAATAATAATAATAATAATGATGATGAGGAGGAGGAGGAGGAAACTTCTGAAAACTCATATAGAACCAAGCTCACCTGTTAGAGCTTGAGAAATTAATCCATTTCTGAATCTTTAACTGCAAAGTGCAGTTTGGTTCTTATAGTTGTGCGTCCATTCTACCCATTTTAGGTTTTTGTCCAAGTGTAAATTGTCCCAGAACCTGACAATGACTTCAGGCATAAACAGCAAACTACTTTGTAACATGTTGAAAAGATCAGCATCTCAGTGATAAGAAGTGAAAGCCCTCTCTTTCTCATGGATTTTACTTTGTCGTGTTTTGAGTCGTGCCCCAGGAACTTCACTTATATGTACGTAAATTTCACAGAAATGCACATCCTGATTCCCTTGTTGATAATGAGGCATTGCCAGGGTTTCCTGAGGTTTGAACAGTACTATTCATTTAAAACTGTAGAGGTCCAGTTCTGCCTGGGTTATAAAGGTTTCATTTATCCATCTGCTAAGCTGTGGGATAAATGAATCATAATGTTTGCTTGGTTTGGCTGCCAAATGTGCTTCGTCATAAGCACTAAGGAGGCCAGGCTATGACTGGAAGTAGTTGATACTGTTTGTTTACTTGCAAAAAAGACTCTCAAGTGACTTGTGGCTTTCAAGCTGGAGGCACTGCTGAACAAAGTAATTAAAGGGTGTGATTACATGTACCCTCAGTATGTTACTACTCTTTTTGCTTTGACTGGGCCTTACCATGGCTGATCTTTCAGCTGGTTTGAGAGCACTCCAGAGGAGAGTGTGGGCAAGACAGGGTGGTTTCTTTGGTCTCTCATCATTACTCTGCTAGCCTGTGAATGTTGGAGACTTGGGCCTCCTTCTTACCATTAAATCATAGAATGATTTAGGTTGGAAGGGACCTCTAAGATCATCTAGTTCCAATCCCCATGCCATGGGCAGGGACCCTTTCCACTAGAACATTTCAAGTGGGAATCCTATCCAACCTGGCTTTGAACACTTTCAGGGATGGGGCACCCACAGGTTCTCTGTGGAGTGTTAGACTGCCTCACAACCCTCATAGTGACAAATTTCTTCCTATTACCTAATCTAACCCTACAGTCTTTCTGTTTCAAGCTATTCTCTCTTGTCCTCTCACTACATGGTCTTGAAAACTGTCCCTCTCCAGCTTTCTTGCACGTCCCCTTTTTGTGAGTAGAGAAGACCTATCAGCTCAGGGAAGAAACAAGTGCCCTGCCTTTGATCACAGTTGATAGGTAGTTTTGCAGAGGAATCTAAGCCAGTAAAATGCAGGAGGAAGCATCGTAGAGAAAGAACTGAGATTCATGTCTCCACCTAAGAGTGGCAGAACTCTATGACTGATTGTTTTTAATAGGAAAGAACATACAAAATTATTATAATGATGATGACGATTACTACTGTCTTGATGATGATGATCATTACTACTACCACATTGAGTGGTGCCATTTAGGAAATATGGATTGCACAGGAGAACATAAATATGGGTGGAAGAGTGTAGGGGAATCGAGAACTTGTGAGAATAAGCCATACAAGCTTATCTTCTGCCTGGAAAGGCAATGACAGGCCATGATAACTGCAGCCAAAGGGAGAGTAAAAAAGTAAGGGTATGTAATTACTTCCACTAATGAAGGAGACTACATAATAAGAGTGGAATAAGAAATGTAAAACCAAAATTAAGATGCTTCTAATCACTGCAGCAGTGAGGTCTTGAAAGAATATGTCAACAGGAGTAATTGTAGGAAAAGAAATTACTTCAAACCTAGAGCTGGATGCAGCTATGAATAGGAGTTGATGTGTGTGACAGCAGGGGGTCTTCCTGCAAGGCTGAATCATGTCCTCTGGCTTTGTGTTCTTTACCTTCATTGGAAAAGGCTGGACAGCTGAAGATAAAAAATGCCATCTAAGAGTTTAATTACTGTGTTATTGTTATTTCCTCAGTTAAATCTGCCTTGCTCCTATTTACAGGCCTTACTACCTTGTAGGGGCTGGAATATGAAAAGAATTAAACACTAGACACAATTGCTGGATATGTCTTTGTAGATATGTCCAAAGTTCTAATGTTTTAAAATGTGCCAGGAGATGCCAGTTGCCTCTGGAAAATAGCCCTTAATGAGAGTTGGCTTTAATGGTGGAATGATCCAGTCTCTAAACAAAACTGTGTTGTAAGAGATAATTTCTTCATATGGCCCAATTGCCTCTGTTATGCAAATAGGAGGAGAAGGAAGTCCTTAAATGCTACTTTGTTGTTTTCCAGTCATTCTTTTATATGTAGCTTTCTGTTTGTTTAATTTATTTTACTGTTTAATGGCTGCTTCTGTGGCATTGACTTTTGGGCATACATTGGGAACCACAATGGAGCAATGTCACCCCAGCAAGGGTCCCAGGAGCTTCCTGGCTCAGGCCAGCAGCTCTCACAGATCTGCAAGCAAGCAGCAGGAGTGATGTCTCTGCTGTGACTGTCAGGTCACCAGAGCCAAGGAGCAAAGAATGCAGTAATGATATGTGCCAGTGGTATCCAACTTCCATACCTGGAAGAGTGCTTTAGAATATAGAAACCTACTGGTAAACCATGACTGCTGC